GAATCTAAAATTTATTAACCTCTACTAAAGCTTATTTAGAAACAATAATGGTAATAGAAATATGTAGGAAAACAGCTCCTTTTTAACAGTAAGCTTCTATATGCTGCATACTTTCACAGAAAAACTACGCATTCCTCAGAACATCACAACTACAACATACTGTTTGAACAGTATCAAATGAAATTATCCACAGCCTCTTCCTGTAGACTCTCATGCAATCTGTAGTGGCTACACTATGCCAAGTAAGGGCACCAGTACTCAAGGCCAAGGAAAAAGAGGTCCTAAGCATCGTATGTTGCTATGCAAGAGCAGCTGCCCCTCTCACTTCAGCGAATGATGCTTTCCTCTGGACTAGTCTCAGAAAGAGACACAGCCTGCCAGAGGTGCACAGAAACAAGGTGACACAAGAGGAAATTACTAACACCAGTGTTTTTAAGAGGACCACGACTGCAAGGAACATGGTCTATGCCTGAAACACCAGGGCTGTAATTCCCACACTTTTGGCAACTCAAGCTTCTTTCCACCTTGCTTTCCACCCTAAACAGTAGAAAGGTGACACTTAACTCTGAGTCATTTCACTTCCATGTTTAAAAAAATCTGGATTTTACAAAGGAAGCTGCTAAAGCTCCACAGTACTTTAAATCAGAATACGTTGGCTCTGCTAGTTTAAAGAAACAGTCCCATCTCTCCCATCCTGTGTTTCCTCACATTCCTAATGATCTCCTTTATGCCACTACAAGTATTTCTGCAAGCACATACTAGATTACTTTCAATACAAATTATTTTTTCTGATATGGCTCATTACACAGCTCCACAAACGTCTGGACCAACACAAGGAAGTTGAAATAGCAGCCAGACAGGACTGCTTCTTTTGGCAGCACCACAGTCTTAAAGCTTCCCTGAAACCAGCCTGGCATAGCCTTCAGAAACAATAAACTTGGTATTTAAGCTTTTTAACAGTACTTGCAAGCAGCTTTAAAAAAAAAAAAAAAAAGAAAAGAAAAAACCCACACACACAAAGCCCCCACCAAAACAAACACACACCCACAAAAAATTGAAACCAACAAAATCAAACATTCCCAAACAACCAAACCTAAATGCAGAAATCATGACTTTTTAAAAAATTGGCTAGTTCATCACCTGTCAGATATTGAGTCACATTCAAAAAATATTTCTTTATGAAATAACAATAGGATCTGTGTCTTAAATTAGTCTTGGTCAGCAAGTGTAACCATTAAGCAAAAACAAGATATGCACCAGAATACCACAAGCAAGACAATAATGAGGAAGCAACACTGTTAGCATTTGCTATTTTTAATGAAAAAATAAAAAGGACAAGGAAAACTTGTTTCTGACTCCTTTTAAACATTATTTTCCAGAGTCTTTACTGCACCACTGATGTTGAAATTTTCTCAGAGTGCACAAACTGTAGATACGACACATCTCTTAAGCCATTTTACAGGTTACACACCAAACGTAAGTTCAAGACATTTTAGGACAGTTATACCCACTTACACTAGCAAAACACTGCTTCCTCTTAGCTTCGCTATTTTAGCTATCCTTCATTTAGAGTTATTTAGTAGTCTGTATTTCTCTTGCTTAAGTGTAACTTGAGAGCTGTCAGGAAGATTTAAATCCAAATCTTATTAAAGTAATTCACAAGCTGTTTCCAAAATGCATGTTCATTCAGAGATTCAGGCTTCAAAAGACACGGGGATTACACAATCATGACAAAACAAAAGGGGATAGGACAGTCTACTAGAAATCCCGTACAACTTCTAGTATTCTCTCATAATACACATACTGAATTACAGAAAGTCTTAATAAGACAGCACTGTAAGTCATCTATTCAGCGTGTGCACATCTGCTGTGCTTTCTTATCCACTCTTTACCTCTCCCCTCCCTTTTCTTTCAATGTCCACAAAAACAAACGTAGCAGCGGCACATTACACATAAGAACAGAATGCATTTCACAGTGACAGTGCTACTCAGATCATCAAGGACTTAAGATTCCTACAAATACTAAAATTCCATGGCAAATTTGCCCAAACTATCTTGGAATGTACAAATAAGATCTAGGAAGCAGTATTCTCCCTGTTTCATATGCTGGAAATACAATGGAAACAGTAAAACATACTAAAGCCTTTTTTCCCCAAAATTAATTCATTTCTTTATAGAAAACAATACAAAATACTTGTAAGATAAGTCAAAAGACAGCAACCTAGTAAGAGCAAAATCACCTCTGAAAAAAACTGTCATATGATTGTTAGCTGTTCTTTTATGTAATACTACTGGCAAACAAAAGCATATTTCTCCTCTAACTAAAAAACACAGAAAGCAAAGTGACTTTTTAAAAGAAATTTCTCAATACACAAAAAGAAATTAGCATGCCTCTGGACACATGTTGTTTTGGATAGCCTTTCTGGTTTTTTGGTGGTGGTTTTTTTGTGTGTGTGAGTTTTAAACATAGTGTTTTCATATGCCCTTACACCGTGGTTTCCACAATCTCTGTGATGAAGTACGAGCATGCTGCTGCAGAAAAGGCAACTGTCCCTTCCTCATTTGTTTTAAGACTGATACCACAGCTTGGTGGGCTGCAGCAGTGACCTGATCCAGAAAAAAAACTACTCTGGACAAAAGCTGACTTTTCAGGTCTCCCAGATTCCATTTACCACAAGGCTGCAGGGAGGCCACTGACAGCACAGTGAACACCAGTGCACTTATTGAGAATACATTTGGGAGAGACTCTGACAAACAGAACACAGTTGTAACCCAAAGGCTTACTTTCCTCAATAGCTTCCTTCACCTATCCCATCTGTAAACAATCCCTAAACGTTCTCTGGCATTTCTCAAACCCCTATATCACTATCTCTCCTTGACAACCAGACTGAATATAATCCATTCAAATACCTGCACCCTAGATCCAAACAACTCCCTGCTGATCTTTTCCAAATTTCTACAACCACTCCGAGTTTTCTGCATGCCCAATGGAAACAGGCCCTTCTCCGTGGTACATGATCCTCCCTACTTCCCCCTTCCCCCAGGGAAGAATTCCCTCAGCAACAGCCTTCACCTGTGGCCTCCACAGAGGAGGGCCCACTAAAGTCTTGGCCAGGAGAGAGGCAGTTACCAACAGATGTAACACACTGAACCTCGTCCTGCCATTCAGCACAGCCTGTCACTCAACATCAAAAGCGACGAGTGGGAGGATGCAATTCCTACTCTCCATGCCATAAGAAGCTGCATGCTTGGAGCACACATCAGTGCCAGAGCCTTTATCCCCTTATTTTCCCTACTTTTGTCCAAAACAACGTGATTATCGGAGAGGAGAATGAGGAGGAAAGGGGAGAAAGACAACAGCTAGACAGCATTTTCCTGGAACCCCACGTTCTTTAATCAATCCCTCCCACACCGAGAACAACTACTCTAAGTGATGTTTTTATACATTTACAATATGCCAGCCACTGCTCAAGCAGTGACTACTTGCAGCGTCAAGAGCACCTTTGTTTTGCATGCCCTCGGGCCTTTCTGTATAGTAAAATTTAACTGCTGCAGTGAAGGCAAAACTTTGATCTCCGAGATAAACAAGTGACTTGGTAAAGGATCACCATGACACAGAAAGCAAGAATCTGATTCTCACAAAATTAAAGGTGAAAAGTAGGGAGGTTACAAAGCAAAGGAGAAATAATGGATAAGATCCTGCAACTACAGGCACATTACACTGTGATCAACACTGGGAACACAACAGTACCCTTCAGCAAGGGGCTGAAACCCACTCCTGCCCATCAAGGGGCTTTGCGAGCATCTGTAAGCAGGGCAGGGAAGGCGCGGGGTGCTTCAGGCAGCAGAGCCTGAACCACAGCCATGCCCGGAGGGAAGTTCCTCCATCGACCGTAAAGGCTGATCCAATACCGGGAAGCATCCTTTCTCCCCAGCACCGTTTCCCTCCTCGGCGTCACACCCGCGAGAATAACGGGGAGATTTAACACTCCCGTAATCTGTGCTGCACAGCCACATCCCCTCGGGCCTTCCCGCCTTCCACAGGAGGCCCAGAGCCAAAGGCCGCACTCCCGGGGCGAGGCCCGACGGCGCCGGACGCTCCCTCCCCACACCCCCGCCTCGCGGGGCTTCCAGGGAACAGCTACAAGGAAGATCAGCCTCCGCTTCCCGCCGCCCCTTCCCCCTTCTACCTTCGGTTTCCCGGGGCGCCGTCCAGGCGCGGAGGAGCGACGCCGGCTCGCCGGCTCCCGCGGGAAGCGGCGCGGCCCGCGGGCAGGGCAGTGACGGCGCCTGCCCGCGTCCTGGCCCGGTCCCGGGGTCTGGCCGGGATAATCGGATAATGGCTGCGGAGCGCCGAGGTCACGCGCAGGGGAGGGGACGGGACGCGCGGCGCGCGACACCGCCGCGGCCCTGGAAGGGGGAAGGGAGGCGGGAGGAGGCGCGGGGGGGGGCGGGGCGGGCTGGGCCGACCCTCAGGCTTCTCCCGCCATTCTTCCGCTCCAACCCGGGGCCACCGCCCTGCGAAGCCTCTCCCGCGGCCCCTTCGCCTCCCTCACCTGGCGGGCAGGAACTCCCTTGCCAGCCCCGCTCCCCCTATGGCAAGCCGCACGGCCATTTTCCGTCGGCCGGAGGAAGAGACACGGGGCCCGCGGGAAACAGAGGAGCCCAACAATAGGGAGCGGGGCGGTGCGTCGCGTCACTTCCGTCCGGGCGGAGAAGAAGCTGCCCCGTGCCTCAGCGCCGCGGGCGCCCATCTTGGTTTTCGGGTACCGCGTCCTTAAAGCAAGATGGGGGAGGGCGGGCGCCCGGCCCCGCTGTGTACCCTGCCCAACGCTGGGACTCCGTGCCCTGCCCAGCCGGCCGCCCGCTCCTCGCCCCGTCCCGCACCGCCGCAATAAAAGCTGTCGCCTTTTGTATTCTCGTTTTCCGAAGAGGCGCGGGGGGCTGGGCCGCGCTGGCCGTTGCCTGGTTACCTGTGGGGCGGGGTGCGCATCCATGCACGGGAGTGTCTTGGAAGCGCTTGTGTGTGGAGCGGAACCCAGCCAGCGGCTTTTCATCCAGCGGCATTGGCAGCCGGTACTCCTTGCGCTGGTAGGGAGATGGCGGTGCCGCGGCGCTTCACTGCAGCAGCTTTGCAGCAGATGGGCGCCCGTCGCCTGGGTGCGATACAGCAGCACCGCGTCCGGGAGAAGCGCGCCCAGGGGGTCTGCGCCACCGGGAAAGTGCAGCCGAGAGCTGCGAGTGAGCAGTATTGAGTAATACACAGGATGTGTGTAGGCTGGCCGGGTCCTAAAATTCACAGGATCATAGAATATGCTGAGTTGGAAGGGACCCACGAGGATCACCGTGTCCAGCTCTCAGGCCTGAACATGTCCATCCCCACGGATCACGCTGTGTGCCTGAGAGCATCGATGAGCAATTCCCACTCTCAAATCTTACACAGCTTGTTTATTTTTTCGAAAGCTATTACATATTATTTCTGAGACAAGAAAAAAAAACATTAAAAATAGCAAGAAAGGATGCACATAGACCATTTTAACTGAGTTTTTAAATTCAGGGGACACTGACTGTGAGGCAGGCAAAAGCAAATGATAGAGGAAAAAGGCACGTAATATGCGAAGCAGACATAATCCCAAAATGCTGGTTGGCTGTTTCCTGTGTAGGGAAAGTGATGCACTGCTTAGATCTATTTCTTTTAAGGTTTTTTTTAAGCTTGGCCTTCTATGGAGTCAGCAACCGATGAGTAGTTGGTACTGAAATAAATACAGTGAAAGCTTTTAGTTCTCACTGGTTGTGGTTAACTGATGAATGGTCTGGCCTAGAGAAGAACGAAACTCTTTTTAAGGGTTTTTTCCCTTCTGCAGGGGTAGCAGTAACTAACCTGTACCTCAAGTGCAGCACACATGCTACACCTTTTGCTGTAACCAACAATAAGGCACTATTAGGAGGAGGATCCTTGATCTGTGACAATGAACTGTTTTCAGAACTGTCACGGGATTTGGCTGCATGCAATACACCTTCTCCTGTTTCTTAATGGTCCTGAGAACTGGTGGGATGCTCATGCAGGAACACCTTCCACTAGACCATGTTGCTTAAAACCCCATCCAGCCTGACCATGAACACTTCCAGGGATAGGCATTCACAGCTTCTCTGGGCATCTAACTCTTAGGTTTTTTGCCCTGACCCATGTGCAGGACTTTGCACTTGGCCTTGTTGAACTTCATGAGGTTAACACAGTCCTATCTCTCAAGCCTGTCCAGGTCCCTCTGGATGGCATCACTTTCCTCTTGTGTGTCGACCACACCGCTCAGCTTGGTGGTGTTAGCAAACTTGCCGAGGGTGCACTCAATCCCACTGGCACCAACAAAGATTTGTGGGACATAAGCCAACGTAAGATACATAGGATGTATCTTATTGGGACAGAAAGGGTGGAGACTACTACTCTTTCAGTTCTCCACTGTATTCAAGACAACGTGCTATATGCCCAGGGGAAACAAACTATAACGTGAAACTTTTTGAAAATATATTTTAATTATTTCAAATATATTTGAAATATATTTGACAATTTGAAAAATATTTGACAATTAATGCAAGTTGTTTTGAAATTTTGTTCACTCCTTGTTTTACCAAACTTTTGACATTTGGGCTGTGTGATCCTTCAGTGCAGCCCCTTTGTAGCAAAAACAGTAGGACATGCACCTGTGCTTTGAAACACATCAAACCAGTGGCTTTCTAGGGGTATTGATATGAAATACAACCTGACTGGTCTCCCTTTCCTCTTGATGCCCTGACTATAATTTATGCTGTAAAATTGGGATGATTTATGTTGTAAAATTTGAGATTATTTTTATACAGTTTTTATACAGTTTGTTCAAACCTCTAAGGTACATAGGCACTTCTGACCTGCCTTTGATATTTTAGAGGCACTATCTTTTGCTACTAAGCAATAAAAAATACCAAAAATAATTCAATTTATGTGCTTATTATTATCCTAGGAAACAGTAGCTCTGGGCATGACACAAACTGCTGCTTTATTTGAATACAGCAATAGTCCAGAAAATTTACAATAACATATGCAGTGCAAGACAATGGGAAGATACATGAAGATACATAAAGACAAAGCAGTACAATAATACTGTGTCATCACCAGCCCAAGCCAGACCCTTGGTGACTGTTAGCAGATGTTCTCACCGTTCAGTGAGGCGGCTGCAAAGTTGTACATCTTCTGAGCACTAACATAGAAACAGAGAACGAGTAGTAAAGTCCATCGTTAGTAGTCAGCAGTGAAACTGGATTGTCTCATCAGGAAATGCCACTCCTAAGAGTTACAGAATGATAATATAGCCTCAGTTTGAAAGATTTACTCGGAATGAAGAAACACAGAAAGAGGCTGTCTTTAAGCTCTTCAAAAACTGTAGCACAGACTTGCACAAGTCAGTGGTGTTACTTACCATCTTTGGCCTGGTCCTTTATGTGCTGCTGGTACTTTACAAGACATCTACATCTATAGCAGCTGCTCCTCCTGTTAAAACCTTGTTCCATTTTACAACCCCTTTGAGTGGATTTTGTCAATCCATGAGTGGGACAAGGCTCAAGGAAGCTGTGTCAAGGAGATGCTTCAGTAGATGGCACTCTCCCTCTGAAGGAGAATGAGCAAATACCTCAGCCAAGGAATTTGATGCAATGAGAACAACTTCCTTTATACCCTACAAAATTACAATGAATGCAAATGAAGCTCTGCCTAGCTTTGCAATGAAGTAACCTCTGGCAGATCTTCACAAATCAATCTAAGTCCTCACATCTGACTTCCTACCTGCTTAAATGACTGTCATCCATTACTGTTCATCTGAATTCCTCCTGAAATTGTAGTGGTGAATATATACATACATACACACACGTACACAAGTGTATATATTTGTTATATGTATTATATATATATATACACAAATATATAAAAGAGCTCAGTAGTAATGTAAATTGCACAGATTAGACTCAGGCTTTACAGTTGTTCTACTTCTCCAATCATCTTTTTCAAATTCATTATTTTATTCTACTCTTTTGTTAATGGTAGGTCCAGTTTGAGGACTTAATTCCTATGGTTTGTTGATTGTTTTCTGTTGGCATTTCATAGTCACAAAATTTCATAGATCTGGAAATTGTTCAAACCAGTTTACAGAGCAGTTGCACTGAATTAGTACAAGTGAGGAGGCCTTAACTGCAGGTATGGGAACAATAAAGACCTGCTAGGCATTAGGGGAGCTATAACCTTTAAAATCACATCTGTTCCTAACCAAGCAGTAATGCACAGCCATCATACAGCTTTCTAAACTGTACAGTGATTTCCTCACTCTCGAACAGGAAGGAGAGAGAAGAGAGTGAAAGAAACATGTATAAGACAAAGTTGCAATAAAAAATGTCATGGGATAAATTTATAAAATGTAAATTTAATTATTTAAATCTTTTAGATTTTTGGATTCTTGAGTAATGTGAAATTCCATTTACTGCTGTTTAAGAATATAAATATCTGTTTTCTCACTTGACTGGCTCACAGGTCAAATAAGACTACATAAGTTTTCAATCACTGCCTCTCCTCTCCCCAAAAATCCTTTTTCCATTTATTAAAATCACAGTGATAACAGTATTTATAAAATCCAGAACCTGGAGCTATAATTTTGCTACCATATCTCAGATAAAGCTGACCTGTTTTTTCCAATATTCATGTCAGAGCCTGAGGGTGTTTTGTGTCCTATTAGTATGAAGAGGTCTAGGTAATATATGAAAGAGGAGTATAGAGAGTATTTGTATACATCTCTCCAGTGCCAGTAACTTTTGGGCAACCAAAAGTTGTGCACCATTGCAAATTAGATTAAGGAATTTCTGTTACAAGAAGTGGTTCAAGTAGTGGCATGCTGCATGAGCGAAATAGCAGATGAACAAATGTACTTTTGAGATTTTCTGTTCTTGATTCAAAACAAAACAAACCCACTGTGAGTGTCAGATGCTAAAGGGACTGTACTCAAAAGCAATATTTTCTGTAATTTGTAGACAAGCTACACAGCAGATAAAATGCTGGACCAGTGGAAGCTTTCTACTGAAAGTACCATTTAACTACAGCATTCATCTATTATTTGGCAAATAGATTTAAACTTCCAAATGCAATTTATACAGAATTCCAAATAGCCTTCATACAATAATGTTACTGCTTGGAAGTCTCTTTTGCACACACCTGAATGGAAATGGTTTGCAGAGGCTTTTTTAACACTTTGCAAAGGAACTGATTTTTCTTTTCCTTGGAGAAAAAAAAATGATGATGTTGAGTGTGGTATGCTTAGTATTTGAAACATGTTCTGTAGAAGAATTAAATCAAAATGGTTTAGCACTATTAGAGTACTACTATATGTTCTCCTTCTGCAGACTTGAGGTGACATTTTATTCAGTCAGAAAAGGAAACATATTAAGGTCATGAAACTAATCAAAAACATTGCATTTATAACCTTTACCTTTACAGCAGCTATTGTGAATTCAGAGTATGTTTGAAGACCCACAAACCAGCCTTCCACACTATCTTTCAAGTAGTGGTTTCAAACCAAAGAACAATTTCCTGACTGAATCATCAAACTAGGTATCGGGACACCTGAGTATTATGCCTTCAGGCAAGTTCTACACTAAGTTTCAGGTGTTATGCACTTCTTTAAAACAGAATTGCAAGAGCTCAGCACCTCTGAAATTTGTTTTTAAACGATTTTGGGAATATCTTCCTTACAGATATATTGAAAAGCTGTTTTAGTGTTTGTAATACATTTTGAAATGCTTAGTAAGAACATGTTACAGAAATGCAGTCATTACTAAAAAATGTTTCATTGAAACAGTCCTGTTTTTTTCTCATCTCAGTGCAGTACAGTTCAAACTACCTTTAAAATGTCTCCCAATTAAACTTTACTATTCATTATACAGAACAGAGTAAGAGGTAGAAGGAGCATGCAATGGATTACCGGGGATCTGCTTTTAGATGAAGGCTGAAGACTGGAAGATCGTAAGCAAAAGGTGAAGACCAAGCAGTGGCAGAAGTAGGACCTGACGATCACATGGGTTCCCCGTGCTTGAAAAGATCCCTACTGAAAGGATCCAGAAGACATAGTGAGAAAATAGAAATATTAGCCTTGCTTTTGATAATATTAAGAAGTGAAACAGAGGTCAGAACTCAGTAGGCTTGCAGAACTGGTCAAGGAAGTAGCCAGAAAAATCAAAGTCCTGATTCTTTGTAATGGATTGCATTATGTATTAGAGGTCTCATACCTTTTGGTTTACTGGTGTAGTTGCCATGTGATACTTGTGTTTAGGAAAAGTACATCATGTGTAAGTAAGACAAGAAATAGCAGTAGCTGGACAGACCAGTGAGATTTGGGTGAGCCTGTTCATGAGTGCTTGGAGATGGATGCAAAACAAAAAGTTGATTTTCAAATATGATTTATTTGGAAACAAAAGATCTATTAAAGGACAGTAAGGCTAATACCTAACAATAAATGTATCAAATGCAAAAGTTAGAATAAATCTATCAAATCCATGATTAAGAAGAAGTTTATAAAAGTGATCAACACTCAGAAGACCAGTACCTACAGGATCCTTAATTAAGGTGATCTTGAATCAAACCAGATTTTACTGGAAACCTCAATATTACAAATATCACTTCATGCTACATTAACTGGACTACGGTAACTTGTAAAATTGTTCAACCAAGGGCGGGCACATGCGCTAGACTGGTGAATTAAGCAAAAGGATGGAGCAAAAGAAGAACTGCTCATTTTCCTTTTGCTATCTTTCCGTGCATGAAGACTGCAGATAATTTTTGCATTCTCCCATTGCTAGCTTATCCAGCTCACTTTGCAGGACTTGCTTGACAGGAGGAAAACAGTTCTAAATTCATTTGGCCACTGTAATTTTTTTTCCAGTTTTCTATTCTTGTTGATTTGCCAAGTCTCAGTTGACTGAGTTATGAGTTGTTTGTCCAACAGCGCCTTTGTTCTGGTCTGTGCTTCAGCAAAAACTGGAAAAACCTGTTCACTTTCTCCTTCTATTTTTTTTTTAATCTTCCTCTCCCATTGGTAGCTGCAGCTTGTACTCATGCAGGCAAGGTGGTGCCTACCTTTCATGTGGAAAGCTGTCTTACAAAAACTGAGGTTGCGTTTTCCAGAGCTTTTCTAACCTCATGAAGTTTTTGATGGGTGCTCCAGGTTCTCCACAAACTGTATTTAGGTCATTATTTTATTTTTCTTCAAGCAAAGTGTTTGATCGTGTCTCCAGTCAAGCCTTTTAAATAATAATTTGTACACTCTGGGAGATCTGCAGGAACCAGTCTTGTAAAATGTAGCTTTTTGGACACAGAAGATTGTCTGCTTTACAGCAGTCGCATATGGTGTGATAGCTTCTGTAAGACAGAACAAACACTGAGGAAGCTAGCTAGTGCAAAAAGTGGACAAGTTGAGAAGAAACTTTTCTTTCCATCTCCTTGGTTTTCTTCTTGCTTGGTGCTGCTGTTGGAACAAGAATGGGTCAACTATGTGGACGATGCATGCAGCTGCTGCGGGACTTCGTAGCCTTTGTCCAGAGGATGTCCTCCGATTTGGTGCACAGTGTCAAGGAATGCTTGATTCTGATAAGCAAATGCTCCTGCTTAAAACAAAACAGCTCTAAAACCAGGCAGCTGTACAAGCCCATCCTACAGCCTCATGAGAGGGTGACAGCACAGGAGTTTCTGCAGCACATTGAAACCGGTAAGAGGACTTGTCTTTTTCTAAAGGGTTCTGAAAGAACAAGGAGATTGATTTTGTGGGTTGAGAGCAGCTTGCTAGTTGATATGCTCTGGCACGGGCAGTTGGTAATGATGTAGGAAAGGCCAGAGCAACAGAGCACTTTCTTTGTGTACAGGACACCAAGAGCTCAAGTGGTGACACAGCTGGATCTAGGTAGAAATGGTCAGTCACTTTCTTGCTCTGCTACCACTCTTAGTACATAACCCATGTTTCATAAAAGTGAGTCCTTCTAGTAATTGAAGTTAGTTCTTTTAAGTCAGTCACTGAGCTCACGGAGCTAGAGATGAGCTGTGCCAAGACCTGAGTGCTGAGCTGTGAGCAGGCAGATCACAGTGTGATGTGCACAGTTGAACACCTCCATGTTGGCTGGTTGCAGAACACAGGGACTTGTGCTAGGGGTGTCTGGGCTATATATGGGGAAGGTCAAAGTCACCCTGGGACAAGCATAGTTGGGTTACCAGGATTCTAAGAAACTGTGCTTTTGTGCAAATATTTTAGAGACCAGGCTTAAGCACAGTCATGGGTTTCTGCTTGAATAAAAGTATATCAATAACTCTTCATCTATCTCTTTTGTTTTACAAGCTACCTGCCTAATTCCCCTGTTTATCTATTTGTGATGTCCTCTTTGTCCTGTCCTAAGATACAATAATATCAATAAGAAACCTTTTTTTTATTTATTTCACTGCTGCAGTCATCTTATATGAGTGTATTTTGTCAGTTGTCCAGCCTAAAAACAGTCGTTGTCTCAAGCTTAGATAGGGGCCATTGCTTGTTTGGTTTTGCTGTGTCTCACAGCTGATTGGGTATATTATTTTAAGTTTGGCTACTTTGGTCTAAACCTACTACACAGAATTGCATAGCCTTTTACTTTCATTTGTGTGAAAGGCGTGGAACACAAACTGCTATGTCTTTACCTGCCTTTTTGGGAAGATAAAACTAACATGTGAGGGGAACCAGGAGAGACGCTTTTCCTCAGTGTGACACAGTTAACACTGTTTGAAATAGTCTGTTGCAGAACAACCTTTGCAATAATTGCTGTGACGCTGGTTGTTGGCAACATGTGTGAATTAGCCTCGGCTGGTATTAGCTGGTGTCATTACCCATGAAAGTGGTGGGTCCTGTGCTGCTGGTATGGTTCACTAATTGTTGCACCTTAAGCACTGGTTAAATCCTGACATTGATACCCAGAATAGGGCCGGATCTTTTAGCTTGTTATACAGTGGAGATCTTCCACGGCTGAACTTTTTCTTCAAAGGCTAGCATGCTCCTGACTGTATAAGAGATTGTCTTGGCAGTATCCCAGCTCAGCTGATAGATCAGGTGTAATGAAGGGGTGCTCTGGAAAAAATGGTGGGGCCAGAATGGTCCCTTGCAGCACCCACTGCAAGGTGCTTCCTGTAAAGACTAAGTGTATGTTTTCCTGGAGAGATCCTTTCTTCTCTGAGATCAGTCTTCAAAAGGCTGGTCTGGCTTGAATCCTCAGGAGTTAGGGTACAGAAGCAGGAAGCCTAGAGCTTCTCTGATAGCAGTACACAGATGGCAATGTGTGCTTTCAGGGAGGTCCCACTGTCCATGACAGGACATACACAGCACCCAAGGAGCGGAACCAAGGTTAATTTTCTGAGTGGCCAAATCCTGGTGCCAAGATAGATGGAGGCAGGGAAGCCTCACAAAGAGAACCAAGACACATCCCTCTTACTTTAACATTCACCTGTGTATTTTATTCCAAGATGGAGCAAGCCCAGCCTTAGTTCTGAATAAATTATTATAAGCAGGAAGCCAGTGTTTGGACAATTTGCATGCAAGGAGAGACTTCATGATTGATCATCATACTCACCTGTTAGCTAGGGCGACAAATGTTTGATATTATAGGCAGGTGAAGATTTTGAGTGGTTTCTGCTTTGTCACTCTCCCAAACAAAAACAGAGATATGTGGAAGATTCAGATAGTCAGTGTGTAAGGACCAGAATTAAACCGCATGAAGAGATTTTTGGTTTTTTTCTCTAAAACCTTCACACACAGGCCAGTCCTTCCTTTTGTGTGTATTGTTAATTATTAAACAAAATTGATCTTTATATGAAACAGTTCTTCTGTGAAGCTCACTTACCTAATCCTGAAAGTAGGAGTTTGCTAGTCTTGACGTGTAAGCAGCTTCTAATGGCATGAGATATTGGCTGAGTTTTGCACAGAGGCATGAAAGCTCCTGTCCCTCACAACCCTCACATCTCTTTCTCCTATGGGAGGTAAAGTAGCTAGATATGCTTCATAGAGATATTTCAGTCATTAATGCACGGGTTTAATCTGTAGCCTGAAAACATATCTTATAATTGTGTGCTTCACCAGTCAATTTATACTACATTACCTTTTCAGCTCAGTTCATACTACTGAGCATTGGTTCAATGTCCCTTTTATTTTCCTCTCTGCTGCTCCATTCCACACATTATTTTATACAGTGACTTTCAGAAGTCATGCATGACTGCTGTTGCTTGATGGCTATTGTTGAACATCTGGTTTATTCATAGGGGAACTATCATACTTAAGTACAGGTAGACTCATGCTAGACCCCGAGGCAAAACTATTTGCAATCCATGTTGCTATTCCCTTAAATTCTTTATTGTAAAAAAAGATTGGGTATTATTGTAATACCCAAGATTGAAAATGCAGTGAACTTCAAATGTAGTAAATTAAAAATATATAGTGTTTCTATAGTTCATAACTAAGAACACCACATTCAGTAGATTTTTTTTTTAACAAAGATCTTCTGTAATTCAGAAAAAGATAAAGATTTTTATGGAGAACAAGAACACCTGCATTTATATTAGATAACATTAAAAAAAAGTGTTTTAAAATTATAATTTATCTTGCTTTGAATCACTAGCTTTGAGAGTTTTATAAGAGGCATTGCCAAGAACATGTTATTCCGAATTCATCTATTGCTTCTGCTCATGGAAACATGAATAAGGGTAGATGGGCTTTATGGAGTTGTTGCAGTACAAAAATCCTTATGTTTTTGGTTGGCTATAAATTTTAATGCATTTTTGTAAACTAACCCTTTTCAGGTGTAATTAAGCCTGTGCTGTCATTGTACATCTTTAGGTTTTGAAATGTCACCCCTTGGAAAGGACCCCCTGGAGGCCTTGAGGACCTTAGCCTTTTCAGAAAACCCAGGTTTACAGCAGTCAGCTGCCCTCTATTACCTGCATATGAGTCAGCACAGTAAGTTATCTCAGTGCATTAGAAAATTTTCACATAATTATAAATAAAAGTATTATTTCCAACTGTGAAATTTCCTTTGATTTATTAAGGAAAGATTTGGTGGGGGTTTTTTTCCATGCTATGTTGTTTGCTAAGGAAAATGGAAATGCTGTCATTGCCATGTAGACAGAGTCAATTCACGGTTTTGCTGTGAGGAGATATCTCTTATGATTATAAAAGACTGTCATTTATGTAATTGTAATACTTCTGTAAAACTCAGCAGAACTCAAAGTACTTAGTGTATACTGAATCTCCTGAGAGCAACACAGTCAAAATATAGTGGAAGGAAATGGGCATAGTGACCAGCTAATGTTTTATATTATATTATTTTTGAAAGAGGACAAAGTTCTAGAGGCCAGATTGTAGTGCAAGTTTATGAAGGAAACATTCTCCTTTATCCCAACTATTCTGTGGGAGCACTTGGCTCCTGAGGTAATTTGTAAATGGTTAGGAGTCAACCTAGATATCCCAGATAAAATTCCAGCAAGACTTTGGGCTCTAAAAAAAGGCAGAAATACCAGCAACAAGCGGGTTGCAATTTATTATCTATTTGTTTGTCTTAAATTTACTTCAAAGAGAATATTCTGTCACTTGGCGTAATAACTTTATCCCATGTATTTTTTGCTGTATAAAAAGTGCAGGTAGCCACAACACAAGGACCTGCTGTGAGGCAGAATGACTTACTTTGTAGCAAGGCATACTGCTTTCCTTCCCGTGATGTTTTTGAAGTACTTGGTTATTCAAAACCTTTTCAGGAAACTTGCCCTGTTTGCTAATAGCAGTGGAATTTAAATGAAGGGGAATACCACTCAGCCTATGTATGGGAGCACCTGAGGCTTAAGATCAATAAGGGAAAAATGTGACTATGGTGAGCAATGAGACTCATGAATATTTCCTCTCTTTCTTGCAGTGAACATCCCCCTGCCTGTGGAGCATCTGGAACCCTTCTATGCCTTACTACGGTCTGCTGACCTGGAGGTGCAGCAGATGTCTTCCTTGTCCCTTGTCAACTTCTTGCTGGAAGGACATAGTGAGTAATTAACAGCACATCTCTCTTCAGGTGAAAAAGTGTCTCTTCAGCCAGACTCATGTAGAAGGAAGGCACGTCTACACACCCAGGTCTACACAAATCTAAATTACTTTTTCCGTGTTCTAGTGGCACCAAGACATATAAGATCCCTCTCGCTGATTATATCATATGGCAAGAGTTCTTAAATCTGTGCGCAAAAGCTGATAAATTATTCCCAGACTGGTGTGGGAATTCTATTCTCGTTCTTGGATTGAGAGCCCAACACTTGCCCTTTCAAACAACAGATAAAACTCTTAGAAATAAACTCTATCTATGAGACAGTGCTCATTTTCTTGTTATTTATGAACGGGACCTTAATTTCTTGCAGATAAAAGAAAAGTTAAAACATTTAGTAAAATTCACTTTCTTCTGTAACTAACAGGGCAAATGGAATTGAAATAGGATCTGGGATCTGCAGAAGAAAAACTTCCCAATAAAGTTTATGTTGATAGACAGGGCATGAACACCTCACACCTGGTCAACGGAGTCCTTGTTGCATCTACTACTTCACTCCTGGCACCTGGGCCACAAGTATTCCATCACTCAATCCCATAACAGCAGAAGATGGGGTCAGTCTTCAGTGAAGCTAGCTTTTTTCTTTGCTTTTTTTAAAGGATTTTGCTGCAAATAATATCATGTCACTTATTAACAAGTAAAAAATAATATTTAAAGGGAAGAAAAACAAAGAGTGAGGGGAGTGCTGAGTAAATTGTTGAACCTATTGGAAAGCTGCAGTTGCTCTTTCCAAAATTACCCTTATGTTTGTAAACAGAATTGCTAACAGAAATATTTGAGACCTTCTACCCTAGAACTTCTGAACATCTCTTACACTCTTGCATGAGTCTGAAGAGGAATCGAGCAAACCAAGCTAGGGACTGTGAGTGGCTATTAGACTGTTTCCATCTTAGATCTATTTTATATAATCATAATACAGATTCCGAAAGCATAAGAATGATATATTCTTTCCACAGAGGCACTAACTATTTATTTTTTTATTTGTCCATTATTTTTCCTGAATTTATGAATAGTTGACAAAGAATTAGTTGTTCAAATGGGTTTACTTGAGCCAATTCTGGATCTACTTGAGTCAGAGGATCCCACTGTCCAGTGTAATTCCTGTGCCTGTATCATGACTTTGGCTGTTTCAGGTGAGTGTGCTGTTCTTTCCCTTTATCATCTGCAATGAATTCATTCAACTCTTAGATCACATTTCAAGAAAAAACAACCTATTTACATTTGGTTTAAGAGTCATAAGATGCAGCAGCAAGTTTTGGTATTCCCACATCATAAATTCAACCTTTTGATATTCCAATTAAGGAATTTTTTTTAGTGTTTCTGACCTTCATTCTCTTATGATTACAAAGCTTTCTCTGATTTTCATCCTAAATATATTCATGACCAGCTTATCTTAATTAATGTCTACCTTGGCTTTTGCTTCAGTAGTTCTATCTCTCTGGTCTATGCTGATGAGGCTCCTTCATTTTACTAGACCAAGAAAGCCAAGCTCTTTTAAGACTCCTTGTAAGTACTCTCCATTCATCTTCATAGTCCTTCTGGGTGTAAATGATATGTTCCTGGAATGAACATAGCATTTGCATCTGCTGTATTATGATACCATAGACCTCAGGCATTTTTGTTACAGTCCCACGATATACATAAATGCTGCAGGAGTTCCGTTTTGAATTCATGTCTTCTGAAAGCGAAGTTACCAGAAATGTGCAGTATTTCAGCTGTGGCACCTAGGGAAATAAGTTTTGTGGTACATCTCATGATAACTAACACCCACCGTTTTGGTGAACATGCCATGGTGATGTTGTCATCCTGCAGCTGACTTAATCACTTAGTCTTTCTCCTCCTCTGCTGCAATTTCCAGCAGATACCAATTAATTGAGGGTCTACCACAATTGTTTCCAAGTGCACATCCCTGCATTTTGTACTATAAGGTTTCATTCTGTTTCTGTTGCTCCAGTTTTCTAACTTGTCTGTTATTTGTAAAATATTCCAGTCCTCCACTGCATTGACAGTTTTGCACTCACACCTTTGTATTAACTTTCTGGTTCAAAACCAGCTACAGACCAGTCCTTGTGGAATTCCATTTGTAGCCTACTCCAAGTGGTCATTCCCATTCAGCAAAACTTGTTGCCAGCTTGGTTTCAGTCAGTTTGTTATCCATCATGTACTACTTGCATTTGTCATCAACTTCTTTTGCTTAACTATGCATATTTCATATCATGATATAAATATTTTCCTGGTATTCAGACAGTTCAACCACAGTTACCAAAAGAAAGGTTATCAAGTTAGTCTGACTACTTCTACCTTGTGCAAACTGTGCGATTCTACTGTACAATTTGTGTACAAGTTTGTATAAAAGCCATGAATAACATTTATTTCCCTCCCTGTAGTATTTATTCCACCAGCTTTCCTCTACAGAATGGGAGGTTGTCCCAGAAGGCTGAGAGAAGCATGATGACAGTGTTTATTTCTCATTTAAGTATTTAGGTTGCAAAAGGGAATACAGGATGCAACTACATGAAAGTGCTGATCTGCATTTTATCTCACCTTTTTTTTTGTGTATTTTCAGGTTTTTAAACACTTTTCCCTTAGGAACTTATTTTTAGGCATTGTATATTATTACAGTCAGGTTAAGAATTCTGCATACAACATTACTTTGTGTGGAATGCAAGTTGCCTCATTTAAGTGTCTTAATTAGGCATGGCATCACTAAAATTTTAGGTACCTGGCACTAGAAGGACTTTTTTTGTGTATGGTCAGTGAAGTTATGGCCCTGAAAATTTACAGAGAGATATCCGTTCACCTGTTTTAAGTAGCCCACTTGTTTGGGGACCTAAGGATGTTACTTAGTCCTGAAGGCACTCTCTCCCTTCTAGATATCTTTATCCTGGAATATAGAGAACCCTCAGCTACTCCAGAATCAGTCCACCTTCATTCCCTGTTGAAGGTGGTCACATAATGCCTTTGCACACTCCCTTAAGTGCCAGTGTCCTTCTGAGCACAAGTAGTTCAAATTAAGCTCTCAAGAAGCTTTCAAACTAGACAGGAAAGGTAGGCAGTCCTGCAAGTGAATAGGCTGGGTTGCTGCCTGGCATTTGATAAGTGTTGAGTTTCTCTGTCCCAGTTAAATCAGGATTTGGAGGGACTGGGTCTATCTATTTGTTTTTCAGATGATATTTAGCTACCACAGCAATGAGACTAAAGCAAGAGGCAATTCTCTAGGGTTTATTTTAATTTTAACTCACAGACTATGATATTTTGAAGTGTCTGCTTGATAAAAGTATCCTGTTCAGTCATGTCTTTCAAGTAAGCCATTCATGCAAAAAGATACATATGGAAGCACAATCAAATTAGGAAGATCCTTAGATAGCTTGAAGGTGACTAAAATTCTGTGTCTAAGAATGGTCTTAATTCTGCTGCAACAAGCATGCAAGACTATGCACACAGTGAAGCTGTTTAGCAATGTGACTGCAAGTTATGCGTAAGCTGGATTGTCTGGTACTTACCTGCTGCAATAGGTAGCCAAAAATAAGAAGTGCAAACCAACCCATTCAGATGAACATGATTTGAAGGTTAGTTTGTTCCAACACCAGTATTTGTCCATGCAGCAAAAGGACACATGCGTTTTGAAATTATCTGCTGCTTTTCAATCAGTGAGTGAAAGTAATCAGCTCTGGTATAAGAACTCTTCTCAAAGTATACTAGAACAGAACTAAATGTTCACAGCTTCAGGGTTTAGGGAGGCCTGAACACGTGCATTAAGCAAAAACGAGGATGCACTGAGTGTAGAGCACATTCAAAGCTGTTCTGATAGAAGAATTTTCAAGCACACAAATGTCAGAGAGTAGAAAGAAAGAATTTATAAATGCAGTTTTGAGGTGAGCTATTCAAACACAGCTTGAGTAGTGCTGTCGATTTCCCTACTTTAGAGTAGCATCTGAACATGTGGTTTCCTTCAAAAACCATTCCAAGGGGCATCAGTGGAGGGACTGCATTATTTAAGATAAACAGGTGGTCCAAGAGAGAAACATCTAGATCTAGTCTGCCTCATCTCTGACAGAGTTGATAGTACAGTTACACATCTTGGTGAGACAGGTCTCTCCAACCAGTCTGTCATAAGTTGACAAAACAGTGTTCATCCAGAATTTGCCCAAGTCGAAATGGTTCTAATCCCTTTGCTCAAATATGAGGTTCTCTCCCACATTTACAAACATTCATGGAGTGTATTGTGTGCAAGAGCGAAGGAAGCAGTGATACCTGAATTCTCAATCCTTTTACCTTTTTCACTCAGCTGATTAATTTACATCACACCAGACTGGTTTCCATCACTTGGAGTCACACAAAAGAATTTCTGCTTCTGCTAAGGGAAACAAAAGAATAGTATGTAGGCGGCTTAGATTAGAGGAAGGCTTGTCTATGAAATGGACCAGAATATTTCACCAGAATAATAGCTTCCTACGTGGAAAAGCTATTTTTAAATACATTACCCTTCCCAGAACAATTATTTTGCTCAAAATGTTTTTCCAGGATAAAAGGTTTTTCCTTGAGTATAAAATACTCATATGATGACAGAAGATTACTTGTCTTGGTATATTAAACTGGTGCTATCTGAACTATACTTGAATAAATATCCTGGATTATCTGTTTGTGCCAGTTCCCTATTAGATAGGCTCCAGGTATAAAAATAAGAGCTTTGTTCTCATAACTCCCTAAGTTAGTTGGCACCTGAAGACTTGATCTTATCTGAATACCTTCTTTTTTTTTTGTTCTGTTCTGCTTCATGTTTCTCTCAGCAAACTTCCAGAGACTGGCCATTGTTTAAACTGTCTGTAAATGTATGTAAATGAAGCAATACTCTACTAAAACTCCCATGGTCTTCAGTGGCAGTTTGGCTTATATAAACAATGAAAGATGTAGACTTTGCTTTTTCCTTTTATAGAATAGTCTGCAGTATACTATGGCATGAAGAGAATTAATCAGTGGTCTAATTCCCATATAAATCTCATCAACATCAAAGAACACCACTGCCAACACCTTATTTTTTCAAAATTAGCCACTAATGTGCTTATAAGATACAAATACAGAAAATACAGAGATAGAAATAAGATAGTAAGGGGGAGAGGACCATAGTTGTCTTAGTGTGGTAGCAGGTTACTTGTTGCCAATGTTTTGATGGCCTCATGGTAAAAGGGTAAGGAAGAGCATAATAGAAGGATTCCCTTCTGTACGGCACAGCTGAGGCTACCTTCAGGAAGTTCAGAACTAAAAGCAGATTCTTTCTTCTAAATTATATTTCATAACATAGTATAACTTCATCATATGTAGTATGCTTATATACATAGTATATAAATATGTTATATAGTATTTTATTGTATATAGTTAATTTTACAGCATTAAGTATTATAGGTTTTGGTTTTTTCCCCCAGTTTTTATCCAAGAGTCTCAAGGGACTCTGCAGATTTTTTTGAATTCTCCTTCTACTCCAGGATACAACTGTACAACTCAATGCATTGCCATGCAAGGAATCACCAGCACTTCAGAGAAGAAGCGTATTTTCAAATTTCAGTGGTTAAATCAAATTCTGTCTTTAGAAACCTCTGCATTGTTTGTAGCTGTCAAAGGAGTGACATAGGGACATTCAAAGAGAGAAACTGGCTCTGAATATACCCTACTAAATGAATTCAATCTTACCTGCAGTTAATTATGTAGTTTTTTCTTGTCACACTGTGAATAGCTTGATCAGACATACCAAGGGTATGAGGCAAGTATGACACTTTGTTAACCTGTTTAAGGGTACTTACAGTCCTTTTTTTTAATTTATCCTAGTCACAAAACAAAAGCATTGAACCAGCTGTGATCTATAGCTAATCCAGAACTCATGAGTGGGTTTCTTTCCTATTTAGCTCTTGGAATTTTTAACAGTTTCCTTTGAGGATGTGGAGAAATTTTGATATATACCAAAGAATCAGAGAAGCAAACACCAAAGGACAAGTCCCGCTAGTTGTCCTGCTCCTGGCTCACAGTAGGATGGCACTAAGTATTTCTTTCTTTGTCTGATTCTTTTCTCCAGAGTCCAACCGAGAGGCTATTGGTGCTGCTCGAGGAGTTACACCCCTACTGTCTCTTGCCAAGTCCTATGATCCCAGAGTCCAACAAAATGCAGTTGGTGCTATTCTCAACCTCACACAATCAGGTACTTTCGGACTAATGGTTTACCTAAATTGCTGAAGGAAAATTTCTCACTGATAGAAAAACAATCCAAAAGGGTTAAAACAAGATTAAAGCATATCTAAGCGTCATTTCCTCTGCATATGGCATTCATGTTGATACCACAGGTTGATGATTTAAGTTTAGCTGATACAGGCCTTTTTTTGCTTAATAGCAAAACAGAAAGGATTGATTTTCAACTCTGAGGGGCTAGTGTATGAATACTTAAATAATCAAAGAAATAGAAAAAAGAACCAAAAACATTTGTTAAAAACATAACTTGGCATAAAATTTAGCAGCACATTTGGTAGTACTTTGAAGCAACCTCAGAATCTTATCAAACAAAATCAAGTTCTACAAACTTTTTACTTGTTCTAACTAACTTGATGTTGGAATATGCAGAATATAACTATTATGGGTCAGAACATTAAAGGCTCCTGGGATATCTGCTAACAGCTTTATCAAAAGCAGTTATTTGGTCCTCTGCAATTATATGTACACAACCATACATTAACTCTGAAATGAACCAGCATTAAATCTCACCTACCTAGATGATACCATTATTCCAGAGTTAAATGATAAAGTCATGAGTAACACCTCTTAACTCTACCTTGTGGAAAGAAATTGTTGGCAACAACTTATACACTTGGCTAATACAATTCTGTTATTATTTAGAATTTTTAAAAGAATTTGGTTTTGAAGCACAGAAAACATGGTGAAGACAATATCTGAGGCTTTTCAGCTTCTCTAGTGATTACGATCCTCAGAACAGTTTTTAGCATAAAACCAGCAAAAGCTTAATCAGGCTGCCTGCTAGTCATTTTGCTAAAATATCTGCAAACTGCAATATTACACAAGCTCTAAATTATATACTCTCCAGTCACACTGGCTGGCATATATTTGGACATCAGCATTTTCTAGAATCCAAGGATTGTGCTTATCCCTTTTGAACGGTGCCTCCAGATAAGAGGGAGGAGAGGGGAAAGACACATTTACAGTACTTTTTTTTTTTTCCTTTTTAATGGCAGAGAAAATCCAACAGGTCCTATGCAAGGAAGGAGCCCTACCACTTCTTGCCTTGCTGCTGGAATCTCCTGACTCAGAAGTGCAGGTATGGCTCAAACAGGTCACATTTTAAAACAGTAACAGTGTGACTGTAAGGAGAGCGCAGACGTCAGTCTGTAGAAGTGAAAAGGTGGACAGGAGGGAAGGTTTCTTTAAAGAAGTCAGAAAACATGTGAGAGCATTTTGGTGAAACTCAGCTCAGTCAGATAATGCATATTCAAAATACTCAACTTGTCTAGCTCCTCAGGAGAAAGTTTATGATGCAGAAGCGTGTCTGCCAGCACACATTAATGCATGAACAGAATTGTTGTGTGCCTACCTTCTTATGTCTTTCAGATCATCAGACAAGTTGCAGATAGTCTCTTCCTCTGTTTTTTTGGTGGTTTTTTTTTTTTTTTGGTTCATTGGTTGGTGTTTTTTGGGGTCTTTTTCTTTTGTTTGTTTTGGGTTTTTTGCATCCTAACTTTGATCTTCCACTCTAAGCAATTTTGCTAAGTGTTCTGAGAACACATAACTTGTGATGATCTTTTTCTTATCATTGTAAATATCTGGAAATCTTCTTTTATGCCTACCAAAGATACCTCTTTGTGATTCTGCATACTCAGCAGAGAACTGGTCTTGGTTCAAAAGTATGGTGATGAAAAAACTTTGAATCAGAGTTGTAAGCCTTACCATCCGTTAGTTTGTTCATTCAGTCCTCTGAGTAGCACAGAATAGTTTTCTCCATCAGTTTTATTATCTCTATTCAGTTTTTTTTTAAATGTCTGAAGGGATGGACCCTCTGGAATTGCTTTCTGCAAACTGGCTCAGCATTTTCAGGTTTCTCTGAGATTCATCTTAAAATTTCCTTGTCTGCAGTTCAACCTGTTTCTTCTAATTATACCTCTCCAATAATACATACTCCTATATGTATAGTCCTCCCCAGCGTTAATATTTAAATCCTTTGGAAAGGATCTCTTGGCATGCTAGGGCAGTAACTACATCCAGCTTAAGTAAATCAATGGAAACATATAATATAGTAAATGCAGATGACCTGGATGCCAGCAGCCATGTCATTGCAGCAGCACAGGACATTCCCAAATAGCCAGGGTCCTAATGAGTTTGTACAACATGCCACAGCAGGACTGCTGCAGTAGCTGCAGCATGTTGTATCCACCCAATAAACACCCTTAAGATGAAAAAGCACTTTTATTTTCTTCAGCTCTAAATATGAGCATTTCTCCAATTTATTTGTATTCTCTTCAACATGACACCACTGTGACCTCCTCTCTCTCTCTACTCTTTTTCTTGGTCCTTTGCAGTATTACAGCTGTGCTGCCCTAAGCAACGTGGCAGCCAACGTTCAGCACCACAGAGCCTTGCTGAGACCCGGTGACAGATTCCTGCTACGGACACTCATCTCTCTCCTATCCTCTTCTGTGGACAAGGTAAAGCTGTAGCTTTTCCTTTGTGTAAAGGCTTAGCATTGAAGTAGAGCTATAAACTTGGGCTTCCAGTTTTCAGCCTCACACCATTCTGCTTACCTACTGTACAGGTACCCATGAGAAAAGACAGCTGTATTAGAAGGTACATAGGTTCTACAAGGTCAATGTATGGAGAAAGCAAAGGGAAATCATTAAAGTTGTTCCACTGCCCTGGACACTTCCATTAGACTAGGATGGCCTGTATGCTATTAACTTGAAACTACATGTGTGAATTGCCCTGTCCAGGCTCTGTCTTTGATCATTGTGTCTGTGACAGGAGGTGTCAAGCATCTTTCATGCTACTTTTTTTTTTTTATTTTTGGTATCTGGAACTTTTACTATATAGCTTCGAGGAATAACATCCTGAAAATTTTGCTTTGCTGGGAGTCACATCAAAGGAACTTCAATAAGCCACAGTACAGGATTTAAAGGGTGGAACCTCAAACACTGTGTAGAAGGGAGGCCAAAAAAAAGCAAAGCAAATGGGACAATTCCTTTCCCTTCATTTTCCTATAACTTATCTGACATTCTAAACCAAAACCAACATCTGAACCCCATTGGCTCTTCTTCATCAACAACAGGATGACTGATACTAAGAGGTTGAAGAAAATTCATCAAAATATATTCTCTGAAGTTAGAGTTGTCATGTTGATTTTGTGTACAATAGGCAAGAACATGCATTACTGAAACTGCTCTTTTTCTCCTTCTCTCATTCCTTTTTTTTTTTCCCTATTCGGCACAAGCAGGTTTCAAGCCAGGCATGTGTTTGCCTAAGAAATTTGGCTATCAGTGGTAAGCAATATCTTGGAGATAAACAAACCACACTATTTCTTTCTTTCTCTGCCTTTCAGAGTAAGCACAGTGGGCTGGGAACTTTTCATATTGAAAGCAAAGAGATACCCTCTTTTCTACATTTTAACTGGGTGTTAAGGGAAGAGGGGGGTGCGGTGCATATCCTAACTAAATCTGCCTCAGAGCTCAGAGGTAGTGAGGGGAAATATCTGGACAAAGTGAGAAAGGCAGAAGAGGTCTTCTTATGCACAGAGCCCTAGTAAGTTGCTAAGTTTTTCTCCCTTCCATGTTTCCTAAGCATTAAACCCAATTAGGAGAGAGAATGTCTCCCGAAATTGCTGCTTGAGGGGACCTGTCTTCTCCCAAGGCATGATTCTGTCTATCATTAAAGATAATTTTCTCCCAAGCATTTGTCATCAGCTTAAAAAAACCTATCCTATTAAATGTCCAGGTTTCGTTTCTATGACATACTTAGGAGATGAAAGTGGAGGACTGGCACGCTCAGTGCTAAAGCCCCACAGTCCAGGGTAGAGTTGTTCATCTAGAAAATGTAGAGGTGCTTAATTTTCAAGTAATCACAATTATAATGGAGCTGAGAGTGAAAGAACTGCTGCACTGCTCCTTGGTGCAGTTGAAGCCCCCTGGTCTGCTTGACCATTTAGATCTGCCTCGCCATCTGCTAGCTGCTCTGACAGGGCCTTTTAGTGCCCAAAAGCACTTGCTGAGGTTGCAGAGACAAGTGAGGTATAACAATTCAGTGGGATGGCTGATCTCTCCCCTGGCAACCATAACTCTGCTTGATAGATGGTGCTTGGGGAGGTCTTTCTGTCTGTACAACAGAAGCCGCCACCTTCTTACCCGGCCTTATGCCAATGATGGACTCAGAAAATTCCCCTCATTCTTCTTTTTGACATTCAGATACAGACTGAGGGTGTCCAAACCTACATTCTGCCATCAAGCTTATATTAATCCCTCAGCAAAAGGAGCCAGAATGAATGAGGGTTTATTTTTTTTAACCGAACATCTAGCATTGTCCCATCTTGTGGAGATGGGGAGGTGCCCTCTAATTTGATCACTGAGGCACAGTCAACTGTTTGAGTCAGAGCCTGAATGCCTCCTTGCAGTGCTCTGAACCTCCCTGACTCAGTCATTTTCCCAAACCAGCGGACATCCAGGCCGAGATGGTTGCTGAGAATGTCCTGTCCAAGCTGTGCTCTCTCCTGGCATCTGGCAGCGAGGACGTGCGTCGTGCCTCCATCGCTCTGCTCTGGATACTGTCCCAGCACCTGCACAACCAGGTAGGGGAGGTCATTTCCCAAGAATAGAAGGGAAAGAGTAGTTCTGGCCTGGGGTAACACTCTGTTATGGCAAAACTGCATGTGAAATGGATTTTGAGAATGACCAATAGGCTCTGGGAGACTTCCCAACCCTTCTCTTTCCCATCCAAAAATAACAAGGCTTTGTTTACTGCATTTGCACTGTCACTAACTACCCAAGGAGCCATCTGTTGTGGTGAGTGGGATCCAAAGAAGAGACCAGTGAGAGAGCAGAGGGAGAGATGGGTGTCAGATTCCTTGGATATGTGGCTACTGCTTTGTGCTCCCTGCAACTCCCTATGGTCCCCTCAGTCCCCAGACCATAGGTCGCCACATGGGTGTACAAGGGGGAGGACACATGCATAGCACCATGAGAGACTGCCACCATGGGGGCAAACAAGGAAGTTATTTCTTGGCTACAGAACTTCCCCATAGACTGAAAAGCAGAGAAACTAATTTAGAGCACTTATTTAAAGTGCATCAGTGCAAAATAAAGGGCAAATACGCATTACCTCTCTAAATGGACAGTTTTATTCATAAGTACACTTTTTGAATTAGGATCAAAACACCCAGAAGGACTAATAGAATTTGAAATCCTGTCTATCTTTAGCTAATTCATTAGGACTTTTACTGGGACTGTATATCCTCATGTCCTTAGTTACAGAATGATTCTTTTGCCCATGATCTGGGTAAACACCACCATTAATAGTGCAAATACATGAGGAAGTCTGACTAGAAATAAACTGCAGCAAATATTGACAAATTATTATTATTTTTAAATCTGCTTTCTCTTTAATTAAAGACATCCTTAGGAACATGGATGTAAAAAGTTTTCGATAGGTGTTTTAAGCTAACAAAAACATTTTAAGATAGTCAGAGGTTGGGTGCATAAAGCAAAAAAAAAGTGAGAATCTTTCCTGCTTTGAACAGTAATGACAATCTCAATAACCATAGGTGGCCTTAGGTGCTTCTTGTGGATTAAATATACTCAGCCTGCTTGGAATTTTTTTTCTGGGAATTGGAAGCTTGGTGCCAAGCAGCTCAGTTTCCTGTACACAGCACAGTGCAAAACAAATTGCACCTCGTCTAACTCCGGGACACGATTAAAAAAATGGGTAAATTCAATGCCTGGGAAGTAGCAACTACAGCTATTCAAAGGCACAGTGGCTTCACAGGTTTTGTGCTGGCTGCATGAGCACCAAACATCCTCATTGCTTGTCTAACTGCCTCATACAATCAAAAGACAATTTGCCCTCAACAAGCTTACTACTGTAATACATTAAATTAATTGGAGGCTATTTGCACAATAAAAACATTACTCAGTATGAGGCATTATGCTGGTACATTGTCCTCACAGAATCACAGAATATGCTGAGTTGGAAGGGACCCAAAAGGATCATCGAGTCCAACTCTCAGCCCTGCAAAGGATCACCCACAAGTGTCATACCATGAGAGTATCACCCAAACACTTCTTGAACTCTGGCAGGCTTAGTGCTGTGACCACTTCCCTCACTTTTGCTTTTCTTGTCCCCAAAGATCATTTACACTTTTTATTCTCCCAGCAAAGAGTACCTGCAAATCCTCTCCTCCCTGATCCTGAAAGTTGTCTTTACCAGTGCTTCAAACCCCCAGCTACAAAGAGCCATGGTGCAGCGTCAGTGGGAGCAAAGGCACTGGGAGCTCAGCCTTGTTACACCAGCAGTGAAACAGACCATCCTTCTTGGGGGAAAAAGGATCAGCAGCAGGAGACTGGAAAGCAAAGCATCACCCTTGAGGCTTTATTCTCCAGTGAGAAATACCTACATCTCAAAATTTGTTTTAGCAAGCAAACACGGCTGTCCCTGACTACTGAATGTTGCTGCTTTGTGCAAGTGAGCCCAGGGAACTCTGAGAAGAGGTTGACCTATCCTTACTCATATCCTGGCTCCCCACCTCCATGCCTTTTCTGGCCTGTTTTTCAAATCTTTTCAATGTTTCTTTCTCTAACTCAGGCTGAATTCACTGTGAGTGAAAGAGGGACTTCTCCATGGGAACAACTGTTAGAAAACAAACCACTGAACAAAGCTAACCTTTACAACCAAGTCAAGTGATGCTTGAATTATTACAAATACTACCCAGGATACAATGGGGCAGAATCCATCTGCCCCTTCGTTACCATGAAGCAAACACCCAGGAATGTTTCACAGGAGCTCCTCTCCCTGCTTCAGCCCCTTTTTTCCAATCCCCTGACCAGGCTGTTGACAGGGATTCCCAGCAAGAGCTGGAAAACTTCCCTCTTGCAGGGGAAATTTTATTCAGTTCTCCCAAGGACAGCCCAACCCTGAAACACTAAAGAATCAACCTTTGTGAGAAAACAGTCTTTTGATTCAAATTCCTTTAAGCAAAGACCTGGAAGTCAGGCTGGCAGAGGTCTGTTTACTGCAGATGGTGCCACTGACTCTCCATTCCAGGTACAAAATAACTTTGCCTTCCCTTCTTGCTAACTGGTAAACAGGAGCAATATTTATCTTGTCAAGAAATCTCTGTGTAAGGAGTACAAGTGCAGCATTGCAATTGTAAGCACACTTCTAAAATTGGGGGAAATGACATCAATATCCATCTGAACCACTCGATCTATTTTTACTCACAGTTGTCTCATGATTCTCTTGCACTGTGCAGGATTGAGCCAGAAAACTAAATCTGGATCCCAACCATATTCCAGCCAAAGAAAGAGGTTCAGCAAAATTCAAAGTACTGTCACTTGCTAATGTAGGTCCTAAATAAACAAAAGAATCTGGCAGGGAAGTCATTTTAAATTAGAAAGTTTATTTATAGTCCACAGAAAATTTCCTCCTCTCAGGCCGTAGCAAATCAAATACAAGTATCTTAGTTGATGGGATTACATATAAAAGAGGACACCGGGTCCAAAAGCATAGAAAACAGTCATCAATGGTAATTTAATTAGATTATCTAAATTTATATTATTTCTGCCTTTGAAGAGAAGGAAAAATAAGATTAAAGAAAATTTAGTCATGTCGGCATATAGGATTCCTTAAATGCCCTGAGTTTAGACATAGCACTGCCCTTTCCATTTATTTTCATCTTTTATTTTAGGATAGCTAGTTGTGACAGTGTTTAAAATAAATGTTAAATGAAGATGTCAGCTGATACTAAAAGAAAATAAGATACACTTTTGCAATTTAACCTAAGTAAAAGAAAGATGCAAGTTAAACTAACTTTTAAAGACATCTGCCTTTCAACGCTACTTTAGCAATCCCGACATTTCACAGGTTTCAGAATTATGCAATTTTTCACAACTACATACAGGACCAATTATTTGTTTTATATTGAACTCCCCTGCTAATGTGCCTCAGTTTCTAAGTAGTACAAATGATATAATTCATTGCAAACAAATAGAAGAACTGCATGAAGAACTCAAATTCCTAAGGGAAGGAGACTGAAAGAAAAAAACACTCCCAAGAGGAAATCTTTTGCTTTTAACTGCAGACCTCATCCAAAGCTGGCTGAGGTCAGGTTTCTCTTACAAACAGCAGTGCCCTCTTAATCCATACTGTTATTCAGGCAACTACCTGGGCAGTAATCCGAACTCAGATTTGATACTATGGGACAAAGGGTAACAGCTTCAAACTGAAAGACGGTAGATTTAGATTTGATATTAGGAGAAACAGGTTTTTTCTGTGAGGATGGTGAGGCACTGGAACAGGTTGCCCAGCAAAGTTGTGGATACCCCATCCCTGGAAGTGTTTAAGGTCAGGTTGGATGGGGCTGTGAGCAGCCTGGTCTAGTGGAAGGTGTCCTTGCCCACAGGAGGGTGGTTTGAACTAGATGATCTTAAAGGTCCCATTCAACCCAAACCATTCAATGATTCAATTAATATTAGTGGTAATTGGAGGAAGATTACATTCAGAGAGAGATACTTAGTAAAGTCCTTCTAAAATATCCATCAGACAGCAGAGAAATATATGTTTAAACTCAGATGTTGTTCAGAACATGTTACTAAAGTGGTGCCTCATTACAAACTGGCCTAAAAACACAGCCCATTATTGTAGGCAAGGTAAATTGCTGAGGTGCTCAAGGACACCCTGCTGCAGCTACTTCACCACGTACTTCTGCCTTTCACATATACCCTGACTACTTCTCCTTCCAGTCAGGATCACATGTCCCTTCCCCTGACTATGAACAACTTCTGGGAAGGAATTGATGTGCAAACAAAGATAAACTACAGGACCTTAAAGGCTCCAGCCTTACACGGCAAGTGCTCTGTACATCAGTGCCAGTCAGTAGACCATATCTGAGAGAAAAAGCACTGGACCTAGCCACATCATTGGTTTAAATGAGCTAAGCAATGCTCTTCTTTCAGAGCTGAGATCGACCTGTCTATAGCTGTGTGAAGCTGCGATATGTTGTCCATATTGGATGTAACTGAGATACCGGTTACTCTTCTCAGGACACTCTGGCATGTGCTGAGCTACTGCAGAGCCTGGGGATGTTACTGTCGGTGCATAAAACAGACCCTGTGATTGTTGGACATACTGCTTGTATCATCAAAAACCTGAGCCTTTCCAAAAACAGACAGGTAGGTACCCAATATTTTTCACTGAGCTATACCCCAGGAGGTTGCCATTATATTTATATCAAATCAGCATTAAAAAAAATCAAAATTTCTGTGGATAATTAAATATATACCAAGGATATTCTACACAAAATTCTAGGTATGAATAAAAGGACCTGATGTGCCATAATGAAAGGAGGGTTTATTCATATTTTCCCAATACAATAATGCTAATGAAAATAAGAAATATTTAATTTTTTCTATCAGTGATGTGGTTACCTAATTGAAATGACTGCATCATAGGTATAAAACATTCCTCTAGCAAAGACATTTCATGCTAATTAAAGGAACCATCCAGGAAAATCTGAGGTCTGTTATAAGCTGCATCTTTATTTCCTAGCTCTCATGCTTCAGTTGCCCTTTATTGTCAAATATAACCTGACCTATTGACGTATATTTTACCTGTTTGGCAAGATACCAGTTGTGCCAAAATGTTATGAAGATATCTGTTGCTGAGTTTGCTTTGAAATCCATATGCACAGATGCACTTCCTTTTTCCTTGCCTTTAAGAGTACCTTGATCAAATAGTACCATTAGTTAACAATCAATACTGGGGGGGGGGAGGGGGGAAACAACCACATAAATCCTCATTTCTGCTTTGTCCCACTTCCTAGTACACACTTTTCAAAACTCAGTTCTTTTTCCTCTTTTTTCATGATCCAATTGCCACTAGTTCCAGACATTTAAACTAGCCAGAAGGAAAAGTATGGTATTTTTTCACTGGTATTAAGATAAGAATTATATAAATTTCTAATAGTTGAGAAATCAAGTTTTTCAAGGAACGAGATTCCCTCAAGGCCCACAGTAAGAGTAAAAATGGACCATCCTTTCAAAGTTTGACAAATATGGTCATTTTTTTAAAGTATTTAGATTTTGTGACTTTATTCTGTTATCAGCCGGGAGCTGGTTCACCTTCATAAAGCTTTATAATGTATAGACTACCTAGGTCTCACTGCATAAGTGAATACACAGACATAACTGGGAGTGCCAGGTTTCCAGGGTCAATTCTAAGGAACACTTTCTAAAACACGGAAGAGTCCTTGGCACAAGAGATAAAAACCGGTGTTGTTTTTATGCCAGCAGGACACAGAGCGTGGGAGCTTGAAAGGCAGCAGTGTTGGATCCATCTTCAACCTCTAAGCAGCAAGTTAAAAACTGCAACATAAAAAAAAAGATATTCTCTTTTGTTGATAGACACCTGAGCTCACTTAAAGAGCTGTGATCAGCTTCCATTATTAGGATCTCCCAGTAAAGATGACTTTGTGATTCAAATTCATTACTAACCAGTCACTTCCAGTAACAGTGAGGTGACTCATTCAGAACTCATTTTTCGGTCTCATGTGCTTTTAATCCAGGTCAGCACAGACTAAGTCTCCTGTTTTCAACTTGGTCTATAAAACATATATCCCAGTACAGAGACATGCTGTCCAACACCACTTTTGGCATAGCAGATTCAGCCTAAAAGATAAGGGATACACAAAAACACCTAATTTGTAACATTTCTCTGCAGAAATAGAATTCACCATTGCTAGTGAGAGGTCATCCCATATTTCTGCAGATCAGAGCATTTCAGCACCAGATAGTTATCAAAGACCTGAAGACAAACAAGGAAAACTAAAAACCTTCCACATTTCCCAATGCTTTGCCCTGGAGCACTCAGCTTATTCACCTCTGCAGCAAGATTTAAGCCAACGACAGCTCACTACTAACATACAGTGAGGTAAAACAGCAATAGGTCAGGAAATTCTTTGAGCTCAGAATGATTGGTGATTGTGAGAATATCCCAAAGACAGAGCAAGCCCTGAGAAAGGCCCAAAATCGGATGATCTCTGAACAATTCGAGGCATTGTCACGTGGTTGTGGTAGATCTGAGAGAAGACATTTCCATTATTGATGGTTTAGCCCTCAGTATTGTTACAGTACTTCTGAAGTCCTCAGAATCCACTAAACCATAAGGAAAATGCTAAACATCAATCTCTTTCCCTCATTGCAGAGAATCATGGAGAGCCGGTGTATTGAAGGTCTCCTCCAGACCATGCTTTCTACCGACACTCAAGAGGACTCCCTTTGTTACGTGACATCTTGCCTTGCTGAACTTGCAAAGCAAGGTAGGGAAGCAACCCCTCCATAAAGCTCAATCAGAGAAGTGTACATGTCCTTTATTAATTCCAATAGGAGATGAAGCACAGGTGAACATGGACATACAGCCTAGGTCTTTCCCTTTAAATTCATTGTGAGTTTTGCCACGAGCTTCAAGAGCAAGATCCAATTCACTGGCAGGACATATGGGCTCCACTCTCTGCACTTTCTTTCATTGAACTGCTTAAAATTTTTTACTCAGATTTTTTTGTGCTGAACTTTGCTGCTGTACATGGCCTGTCTACTTCTATTTGTAACATTTCCAAATTTCTCAGGGTGAGAAAATTTTACAATAGCAAAAACTAATATAAAAAGGGGAAAAGACTAAAATACGAAGTAGCATTTTCTCTTGAAATTTTTTGCACATGGATTTTATAAAAGATCCCAAATTAACAGTTGTGAAAGGTACAGCACTCCTTATGGCAGAAAGGATCAGTGTAAATTTTCCCAACATGCCCTGGCACTGAATATTGTCTGTCAAACAAGTCATCTCTTGTATCTGGTGTAACGGCCATGTAACTGGCAACATGTCACACTCAATTTTGCAAGAGGTGCCCAGCAGCTGCTGGATAGACTGAACCTACTAGGCTACAAGTGGATTGTACATAAAGTGGTTCATTGTTTCAGAACATAAAACCAATAAAATATGAATTAAACCCATGGCCCTATCTTACTGAGAGCATAACCTCAGGCCATGACCCTTTTTTACAACCTAAACATACTTACTAACCAAGCTCAGCACATATTTTGCTTCTCCAGCTGCATGAAGAATTCCCTATTTAGGCTGTATGGTTTCTGGCAGAACTCTCTACTTCATTTCTTCAACACTGGACTTTCTGTTTACAGACTACTCTCTTATCTTTCTGTCTTCTAGAAGGAGCCACACTACACATGGTCCAATGGATGGATGAACATTTGACAAAGTGCTTGGTGAGACTGGCTGGCCAACTGGAACACACTGAGTCATCCTTTCAAGCTGCCTCCATCATCCAGCACATGATAGGTCACGGTAACTGTCACATGGGATTAACTCTGCTTTGAAGGAGTCTTGCAGCTGTCTGGAGATAACTGTCAGGCACCTTTTCCAAAAGGAGATAACTGTCAGGCACCCAACAACCTTTAATGTTCCTATAGCATCCTCCATCTGGTCTCTACAAATGTATTAGCATAAAAGTGCCTACTGTCACCCTTGAAATAGAATAGTGCTTGAATGCATGAGAAAGCCCAGGGATGAAAGTGGACCACAAAGGTGTGAATCACATTTTCATTGCCTTCTTCAAGCACTGCCATTCTGCAGGGCTAGTCTGTAGGCAATTCTGAGGTCCTTAAAAACAACTTAAGTAGGAAGGTTGGAGACAGTTAAGATATTCCTTACCATGGGAAAGATGAGAACATGTTTCAGACAAGTCATTGTTACATCCTTCTGATTGACCTTCCTTCTCAGTATATACAATGTGATGGCATTCCCTACAGATAGAAGCAGAGGTTACATTCCAAAATTCTAGATAAACTCTGCTGTCTGACTAGCAAAAGGAAAGCTCTTACCGAACCAAATCCTGCTGTTGTAATTCTAGACTAGGTTAGCAGGAGCAGTGAAATGGCTTTTAAGAATGGAGTCAAAATTTTTTCAGTTTCAGTGAGAGAGAATAAAAAGAGCATTACCTGTAGCAAACAAACTTAATTATGCTTAATATACATGTGCCATGCAGCTGAGAGCCTTTAGACTTGCAAGAAAAAGGTGTTCAGATAATTCTTGCCATGCTCTCTAGAAAGGCATGGTTAGATTTTAGACCTTAGATGTGCAAAGACTGAAATCCATAATGAGTCTCCAGTAAGGGAAAATGCAAATCTGTTTCATTTCTGCCACTGAGGGTTTGCAACAGAGCAGACTCTCAGGCAGTGAACAGAGTCCAACAGCATAATCACTTCAGGTTAGTATGACAGGCTTATCAGTCCATAAATCAGCAGGCACCTTGCACAAGGACCAGATTCCTAGCACAGCAGCCCATTCAGCATTTTATTTACCTGAAGTATCAGCGATATTGCCAGAAGCTGTAGTACAGGGAAGTCCCTTGCCAGTCTTTGCAGTAATGCTGGCTGTAGCTGAAGGTAGATGAGTCATTAATGATCTTACAAATGTTACAAAAATCAGTTTTCAAAGTGTTTTAAAGGTTTGTATTGATCTCCAGTGGTCCTCCCATTTATGCAGAAAAAATGATGCTTTTATGGAAGCATCACATTGGAGAGATTCAAGCGTATCTCAAGAATTTTCTTACCCACCGAGAGATCCGGTTTCAGCAGCTGGGCATCTCCACATTCTGCAGACTACGAGAAGGTAAGTCCTTCCTGCTAGGCTGAGCCCCCCGGGTGCTCTCAGAGCCTGCCTGCACCTATCAGTGGCAAGCAGGCACTGCTTTGGAACAGAAGTCAAAATCATTAAGCTTGGAAAAGACCTCTAAGATCATGGAGTCCAACCACTGACAGTGCCGGGCAAAGTCCCCTGGGGACTAGCTCTGCTCACTTAAGCAAACAGAATAATCTCAAGGGTAGCTGTTACCACACCTGTTCTGAAGTAACTAAGAGTATCTTATGATAAAAGTGGGAAGGTTTTGTTTGTTTATTTGTGCACTTTAAAACTAAAGCCTTTCTGATCAGCAGGGAAATAGGACTTCGGGTACAGATGCTTTTATCCAATGTATTTGGCAAGAGATGCAACCTAAAAATTCTTTAAATCTGAAAGCAGTTTATTTTGATAAAGCAAGCAAATAAGCAAATTAGCTGCTATTAAAGTGTGAAGTCTCACATCTTTTTCATACTCTAAAGTCCATTCCTTAATATTTTTCCGGTTTTAGTCTTTTTGGTTTTGGGTAAAAGTTGAGTACTTATGAGAGTTTTAATGTGGTAATAAATATATATAATATATAGCATATATCTTTATACATGTAGAGCCAGAGTCAAGACCTTGCTGTGACTTGATATGCAGCTGCTGTATAAAGCTGCATTTAGACATCTGGATCAGGAGAACTTAGCAGCAATCTTGAATAGTTGTAGGGATCAAAACTGAATTTGTATCTGCCTTCTGTGGTAGAAGAATATTGTTCTGTCTTCTCTGTTATTCCTTTACAGATCCAGAATTTTCATTAGCATTCAGAAAAAGCCAAATGGCCAAACTCCTTGAGCAAGTCCGTCAACAAACAGAAGAAACTCAAGAGCTCCTTAAGGCAGCTATTTGCCATGAAGACAGTTAAGCCAAATGGCTTATGAAAACTTATCACATTCAAGAGTCTGAACTTTCAGAGAAAACAACTATTTTCATCAATTCCTGTAGTTAAAAGTTTTCCTGCTACTTGCAGTTTCATCATACAGAAGAGAGGTTCTGATAACAAGAACTGGAGCACGTCAAAAACCAATTCCTTGAACATTTTGGTTGGCTGCTTAAGTGTGCTTGAGGACAAGACTATGGTCCTTTCCAAATGGGGTGTGAAAAACACCCGTTATGCTTGGTTAATCCTCCATGATTTGTTTTTGGTTTCCTCACCACCACCCCCCTTCAAAAAAAAAAGCACTGTATTCATGAGGTTTTCTTCATATAACAGGCCAATTCCTCTGAAGAGGCATCTCAAGTATGTGGGTTACTCTGCATTCATCTTTATTTTGTTTCTGTTCCATGCCCCTTATTTCAGAGCACACTCCAGGGTCTTTGGAAAATAACTGAATTAACCCACAGTATAAAAGTAGAAAACTACTAACAGGTTACTACAGAAAGTAAGTGATGAGGGACAGTTCAGAAATCGCAAGAAATTTGTAAGAGACAAGAATGGGGCAAGCCTTCCGGCCGATCCTTGTCCAAACTATAGACAGTACTCTCCAGCAGAGGAGCAAAGGCACATTTAAGGCAAGTAAAAAGTTGCACAGAGCATGTATACAATACAGTAGCAACCATGAATTATTTGGGTGACGTGTTTGAATACAGAGATCTGTGTTCTGCAAATGTTAAATTATTTCCAAAGGTACTTGCAACAGGGAAAAAGTAAAAATATTTGGTAAAATTAGGAATTGTTCTTGTACTTGGATGCTGATAACTTCATTTTAAAAAGAGGTAAAGAACAAAAAACCTAGTAATATGTTTAAATTCAACTAATTTTCTTACATGTATACAGAATATGGGACAACCTCCCTCCTTCTCCTCCAGAGAAGAAGCTCTCTCACAAATACTTAGCCAATCAAAACAGTATTTTTCAGGAAAAAAAACGTAGCACAGAGCTTTGAAATTATGGGGCACTGCTTTTTTAATATAGGTTTTAATTTGTGAGAGAATAGTAATCTAATAATAATAAAAATAATAACGATAAAAATAATAATCTATTAGTAATCCAATTCCATATTTGATCAATACACTGGTTTTTGAATACAAAAATCCTCCTGAAGCTTCACGTTGAACTAGCTGGAATACTGAAATTCTGGAACCACTGTTATAGCAAGCATCTGCTGCTAGGTAGCAGTTTCTTGTGAAAACATTTCAGAAGTTTCCTGACTGTCGTGGTGTAACCCCAGCTGGCAGCTCAGCCCCATGCAGCCACTTGTTCACTCCCCCTAAAAGTGAGAAGACTTGTGGGTTGACATAAAGACAGTTCGACAGGGAAAGCAAAAGCCACGCACACAAGCAAAGCTCTGCTCCCTCATGTGTAATGGTTACTTGGGAAGACACACACCATAACTCCGAATACCCTCCCTTTCCTCCTCCTTCCCCTCCCTTTATATGCTCAGCATGACACTGTATGGTTTGGAATGTCCCTTTGGTCAGCTAGGATCAGCTGTCCCAGCTGTGTCCACTCCCAACTTTTTGCACACCCTCAGCCTCCTTGCTGGTGGGGTGGTGTGATAGGCTGACTCTGGGCAAGTGCTGCTCAGCAGTAACTAAAACACATTGTTATCAACACTACGTTCAGCACAAATCCAAAACACAGCCCCCCTCTAGCTACTGTGAAGAAAACTAACTCTACCCCAGCCAAGAGCATCACACTGTCTTTTGAGGTACTCCTGATCATGTTATAACTCTTATGTGCATGTAGAGCTTTAGAGCTGCTATTGGCTACAAACATGGAATAAAAGTGAGAGTAAAAAAAACAGTTTAAAAAAATCATTTTGTCAATTAAGAGCTCAATGTTGCATTTTAATGTGGCCCAAATCTTTAAGCTTAATTTTGGTGCTTTGGGGAAACATTTTTGATAATGATACCTTTTAATATCTGCAAGTTTTTTTCCAACAGTACTCACTGGGAAACAAACAAACAAACAAACAAACCCACCTAAAACCAAACAAAACAAACTCCACACTCAAAATCCTCTCTGCAGTGCAGTAAGAGGGCCTGCTAAAGTACAGGGCAGACAGAAACCTCAGATAAAGCAATATGGCATTTTCAATATTCATGTGTGACAGAAATTTTGTTTTGAAATCTCATATGAAAAGCCATGTGCTCAACTTTGGCCAGGTGGACTCAATGAAACAGAGGACTAACTGAATGACACAGCTAGGAACAAAATCCCAAAATCTCAAAACTTCAGACCACCTCTGTGGGTGACTTTAGATGAGTTTCCAAAAAGAAAATTAGTGCAATATTAAGTAATTATATCAGAATCTGTCCTGTATCTGTATTCTTGGGTATTTAATTGCAAACATTATTTCAAAGTCTTAGCAAGAAAAAAAATAACAAAGCATTCTTTATCAGGAGTGAGGAGATAAAAGATGTGAAACAAGCAAAGCTAATGGTGAACAACCCACCAGTCGTGATGTACTGAACTACACTCATTTATGTTGTGCTGTTAAGATGTGAGCAAGGAGCTGAGTCTTTCCAAAGCACATAGCTCACTGCTGTGAAAGGTTACTACTCTGTACCTTCAGTACAGCTGTCTGCAACTTCTACAATTGCTAGTTCTACCTCACTGAGTAGTTCAGTTTTGCCTCTGATAGTAGACAACAAAATCAGTGGCAATAGAAGGGAAAGGAGCTGGCCTTCACTCGATACTATATTTTATTGTCAAGAACAACACTCAACAGAAGAGAAACTATTTTCCCCTTCATTTAAAGAAAAAGAATTAACCAAAAGACTTAAAAATTCAAAATTCAATCTTTTTTTTTTTTTTTAAACTGATACACGTGATTCTACTTGCAATTTCTCAGTCTTTGTTTTGTTGTCAGGCCCTTGAAACAGAGGAAATTCTCTCTCATTTGAAGCAAACCTGGACTGAATGTAGTGATAAATTGTTAAAAAAAAAAATCAAACCAAAAAAAGCAAAGTACAGATTAGAAATGAAGCAGGGCCTTAATCTGTGCTGCAAACAGTGAAGCAAGTGTTCTGAAGTCTCACAAAAAACAGATCAGCAAAATATAGACCCAAGCCAAAATAGCTCAAGATCAACATAATTTAAACCTGAGCCTAAATGAATCCCCAGACTTAAAACTGAAGCCAAATCTTACTGGCTATTTTTTGTTCAGTTTGTAGCTGCAAGTGACTTTGTACTGATTTTCTATTTAAAAAATGAGATGAAACCTGCAAGTTTTAAGCAGACCAGGAGTAGTGAGAAGAGTTTTCCACCAGAGATTGACTCCTGCTTCAGCTGTGCAAGAAAATGAAAATATAAGTAGAAATAAATATTTCAAACAAGTTTTATTTGGTACTTACATGCTATATATAGTTTTAAAGAAAAACTACATATTTTGGACACTTCAAAATATTGTGGCTATGTACATGGAAAACTAAAGAAAGCAAGAAAGGAACCCAATTCATTTTACTGTGTCACAAGTTACTATTGAAAGCATTCTGACTGAATGGCTGTTTTTTTCCCTTCCATATAGATTCTGGCAGATGAAGTCTCTTTCATTTTATTTCCATTGCTTTTATCCCATCTCCTCTATAAGATGAACACTTGGTAGCAGCAGAAGTTTCTTCAAAAATTCTTCAGCTTTTGTCTCAGAGGATTTCTTCTGCTAGCATAGACTTCCTGCACAGCTTCCTAGAGGCCTCGCTCAGTGCTCACTAAAGGCAAGTACAGGAATCTTAATGATACATTCTCTCTTAGCATGAGCTGAAACCCCGTGAACCTCCATTTCCCTTGCCAAGGATCTTCTCACTGACTTCAGAGAGCAATGCCTCAAGCCCTCCTTGATGCTTCAAACTCAAATGCCTAGAGTGAGCTCTGCCTGCAACAGCATTGTTTAGGAAAGCACAAAAACGTGCAAAATTTTACAGTTCTGCACAACACAACCAAAAGTGAGGGATGGAACAATGACAGCAGAAATCAGCATCAAACTAAAGAGAAAGCAACTTGCATTGCTCCTCTTATCACTCAAACTGCACTGCCTTATAAAAACCACACACTGCATAAAAAGCAAAATGACCATTTTCCATTTGCTCTGAAACGAGCAAAACCAAAAAATCCCAAACCTGCATCATCCAAAATCAAATATTTCAGGTTTCACACAGTCTTCAGTAGTTTGATAAGGCAAAGGAAAAGTCTTCCATCATTGGGAACAGCAGCAACTTACAGGACTCAGAATAAGGTATTTCCTTGTGTGTGTGTGCACACGTTTGTGTGCATATGCATACACATCTTTTATAGGTTTGTGAACATGGACGTAACCAAAAAAAAAATCAAGTTTGCAGTATCTTTTTACCACATTTGTCTAATTTATTCAATTAAATGATTTATTTCTGTACTGAGCAAAATTCATAAATACATAATCTAGAAGAACAATAGGTTTTCCTCTTGTCCATGAAAAAATAACGCTTTCAAATTTTCACATTTTAAAATCTGTCTTGTTTTGTGTTTTTAGAGAAAATGCAAGAAGATCATAGTGACGTCTCAATTTACAGAATGTCCCTGTAGGGATTTCATTTAAAAGAACCTGATACAGAAGCCTATAGTTTGCCTCCATAATTAGAGTTCTCTGCAATAACATTTAAACCAACAGGTTTAAATAAAACACCCCATTAGCTCTACTTGTAGAGCAACGAGGCATTTATTTTTCAAGTATTAGAACCACAAAGTGTAAAAGATTCTTTGCCAATTTTATAATTATGCCTTTTAAACCAACACTCACCTTTTTTAAAAAAGCAAAAAAGAATCAGTCCCACCACCCAAATCAGCCCATTACTTTCAGATTCCAGTGTCTGGTGTCTTAAGGAATGCAGAAATATCCATTTACTAACAAAAAAAGCTCGTTGGAAATAGCCATATTAAGTAACGCACGTGAAGCATGATTTTTCTAGTGATGAAAGCTATTAGAAAGGTGATCCAAGTCTATTCCCCTCATTTCTTCTGCTGGTTTTACTAAAGTCCTTCCAAAAAAGATATTCAAGAAATCTTTAAAAAACTGGAGAGAAAAAATAAAACACTCCTTCATAGCATGGAAAAAACTCCACTGACTGCAGAGATGCTCATATCACCTTTGGTTCTTCAGAAGAAACAATCAGATCACTTCTACAACAGAAAGTAACAAAAATGACAGGTCAGAGTGGCAATGCTTACTTCAAAATGTTACGTGCTTATGCAATTAATGATTTTCCTTACATTTTCTGGCCACAGAAAAATAAAGGAGTATCCAATTTAATTTGCTAAATTAGTATTTGTTTACTAACATTCTTGAAAAGTTGTGGTGTCATTGAGAAAACTAGTGTCCTGCAAACCATCCCTCAGTATTAATGCGTGCAAGAACTTGATGAGGAAAGTACATTCAGAATTTTACAAAGTGATTAGGTACCAGGTCCCCTTCTGCATGTGCGTGCCAGGTACTGCACTTACAAAACTGGAACCTGATTGCTGACTGCTTGGAACAGCAGCTGTCACTTACCACTTCTGTTTGGCAGCACAGGGCAAACCTTTCCAAGCAACCACAAGTGGAAGAAAGTAAAACATAACTGAGAGGCCCTCATTCAAGAAAAGATAAAGCCTCATCATAACTTGCACTGCATCTACATGTTCTTGGCATGCACAGCTTTACAAAGAAGAGATACGCTCCTTTCCCCAAATGATGTGGGGTTTAAAAATGCTTAAATTAATCAACTGATATTAACTGAGAGCTCTAGGACCTCTGTCAATTACAACACATTACAAATGTTCATGAACCACAGCAAACCTACCTGCTGTTTGATGTGTTTGAACACTATCTACCTGAGGCAAAAGAGTCCCCTTATCTTCAAAGGCTAGAATTGGATTCAAAGGAATTTCCGGACTATTGCTTCCATCATTGTTCATGGCATCCAGCCGGGATGGTTTAGAACCAATAGGCAGGTTTATGATCTCTTCAAAGTTATCATTCTGCATAGACATTCCATTGTCATTTGTGTTTTTCTCTGGATTGAGATTGCTGAAAGAAAAACATAGTTATTTCCTCACACACTTCATCTAGAACAGAAATTTAGTCCTCCTCAAAGCAATATTACAAATGGAAGAAAAGTCTGCATCAATCCTGAGCGTTCTTTTTGCCAGTAAAAACAAAACTCTGCTTCTACCACAGTAGATAAACTGTTTTTGCAGTTAAGTACTAGGTATGCCTTCCCTCACACAGGGTAGTAGTTACATTTGGCTACATGACACCCAGCTACAGTGCGCTGTATGTCTGAGAAGTGCCTGCAGTGGGAAGCAGTAAG